GTTGTTATCATTCGTTGACATAGCTTATCATTCATTTCATATTATTTCAGTTACACGTGTATTTTTTACCCGTCGGTTTCTAAACTTCAGGACGACATTTCGTTTCAAACGTTTTGGCTTCGGATCCATTGCAGCTGCCATTATCAAGCTGTCGAGACGCCTAAATGACAAAGACACATGAAACCCTCAGTTATCGCTCGCTAAACAAACCAGTAGACGTTACCTTGAATTTCCTTTCGCCAGATTATCTATAGAGGTTTTGCACAGCAGCCATGTTGGATGGCAGGAACAATAGATAATTTTTCTCATGGGAAGAATGTTTCTTTCTTAATCAAAATATTTTCCTGCCATCCAACATGGCTCCTGTGCAAAACCTCTATATTCTATTTGTAAATAAACAATCTCAGCGTATACGCAAGCGGGTGCAGAAAAACGAATGTAGCATTTATGGGCCTAATCGCTGCAAAGGATTGTAATGGTTAAGTACCAGTTTTTCTCACGTGACCCAAATGGTGAGGCTGAGACTTGGAACCCTAATTCACACTAAAAGTATCATTTGCGGGACTCTATCTTTCATGCTTTTTGTTATTATCATTATCATCACTAGGATGTATCAAGTCATTGCCAATGGTCTTTGTTCTTCCCTCAGCCATCAGTTCATACAATTTTATTGCCAATGTCATCGTCCTTTAATTTCAAACACAAAACTTTGTCTACAACAAAGAACAAAGACGCTGGGAAAAACGCAATTCCTGATCAGATCTCAGACGCTACCGTCCCCAGGAACTCACAACTCAGCGAGAATTGAAGGGTAAGCTCCTGAATTAGTGGTTGTGATCATACGAGCGTGTTTAAAAATACCTCCTCTTCTTTGATGTAGTGCCGTTTGATTCTCTTTCTCCGAGTAGCTCATGTAGGTCTCTATACACTATTCCGACAATCACTAAACCTATGGCAAAACAAAGGTAAAAAAAAACCTACACAATGTTTCCGTGAGCTAGTTTGACTGCGTATGAATCGTTCTTCATATGCATGTAGATTATATAACGAAACTGTGGACTCTTCACTTAGCCCGCTCCCTTCCCCCCGTAAAGGGGTTGACGAGTTTTTCTATAGCTTTTACGAATTCAGCAATTATTACTCATTGTTTTCTTTCTGGTATTCATCACATGAATTCCTCTTCGAAAACGTTACTCGGCAATTCACTTGTTATATTTTTGGCGCATTGTTTTATTTTCAGTTGAAGATCATAGTTGTTATGTTTTGGGACATTTTACCCCCCTACCCCTCCCGAGGCTATCGCAAGCTTCATATATCCAAACGGGGTTTTCAGAAAGAAAAAAGGAAAGAAGTAAAATGGTTTTGTTCAAGACAATGGTCAATTCATTTCACGTCGCAAATCACCGCGAGACCAATTCCATGTAACTCATATTGATAAGTTTGATTTATACATCGCATTCTGTTACCTACCCTTTTCTTTAAAGTTGACGGATGGGATGTTGACAGTTTCACCTATTGACTCACCGAGGCGAAAGTCATCTAAGTCTAGTGGACGAATCTTCCGAATACGAAGAACTGGTGTAATGGGCAAGTAATGATGGTTAAACATCATGAACAAACTTACAGAATTATCGTAAGATATCTTAAGAATAATGTTGAATAGAAATTCATAAACTCTAACATGAGACATATTTATCATTCACTATTAAGTTCATTCTTGGAATTTTAAGTGTATTCTGCTTCAAAGGTTATGGGACTACTTAATGTATTCCTAGAATAAGACTTATGTACTAACACCCTCAGATACTTGATATTGATAGTGATGCGAACTCGATGCTTTGAATGGAAATGGAAATTAGCTCCAAGAAAAAAAAAAGTATAAGCTTTCAATCTTGGTACCACTTTTTTTTTTGTTTGTGATATAGTTTCCATCTTTTTATTCTTGTAGAAAACAAGCAATCTTGGCATGTCTTTATTTATTTATTAAGTTTTTTGGAGGTATAAAATTTTCAATTTTTGTATAAACAAAGAAGATATAAACTTACCGCGGATTTTATCGTAACTCTTCCTTATCCATGGCTTTGATTCGTTCAGATGGTGTCGGCCATATCTGAGAGCAAAGGTCTGAAAGGCGTTTGCCGTTGCGTAGATCAACTTTTTCCGTTTCTGTTCTGTTATTATTTTATGCTGAACTTCTGTGAACGATATCTCTTTGTACCTGGCAAGAGTGTCTTGCAACAAATCGACAACGTTCTGCAAAAGAATATACCAAAAAAAATTAATACACAAAGAGAGCGTTCCTCCGTAAGAATGATTTTTTAGGGTGCTGAATCAGCACCCTAAAAAATCCTTATCACTGCTGATGACAATGACTCTTCCATCATTACTATCATTGTTATCTTTTTCTTACAAGATAAATTACTAATTGTGTTTATTGTGCTGCAAAGTTTTAGGACAAGATGTTTACGAGCAGCTTACCGTTTGCTGCATGGAATGTTCACTTTTTAATGTCATCTGGTACGACCGTCTGAACAAAAATGATCGCCCCTTCCTCCATAAGTATAACAGCTAAACGCTCTTTCATCATGAATTAAAAATCGGTCTGACTTTAGTTGCTTTTCGTTCATTTTGGACACTTTTGTTGTAAATTTGAAAATCAGTTCACGGATATAGATTATATCAGGTATGGTTTAGGGGTTGATATCAGCCAGTAGAGAGTTAAAACTTTTAAGTGCAAAGGGGTATTAGAGTAAATCTATTGACATCTTCTGAGTCTCAATTTCCATTTTCCTGTCAAGCTGTTTTTTTTTTCTCCATTTAACGAGTCAAACATTTGTGTAGAAAAAGTATGAAATCTAAAACAAGTCCGTTATTTTCGATGACGTTATTGGTATATGTATTGTATGTATCCCATAATATTAACATTATTTTGCAGATTATATAACGAGTTATTTATGTAAAAGTTTTTTATCAAATATAGCAACGTAACAAAGACGCTAAGAGCTAAGGGGAGGGAGAGGAGGGTTCAAACACTACCCTGTACCACGTTGGGGTATGATCTCGCATCTATCTCCCCAAATTGAACGAAGATTTGTATCGTATCTGTGTACGGTTTGAAAATTGGGGAATATTACTTGGAAAACATCGCTGGATATCCTCCGGCTTTAGCTGAGGTATATTCGTTCACACGTGTAGAAAAATAATGCCTGATGGATTGTAAACAACAATTGGACATACTTGCAAAGAGTCATCATGTNTTTCTGTTCTGTTATTATTTTATGCTGAACTTCTGTGAACGATATCTCTTTGTACCTGGCAAGAGTGTCTTGCAACAAATCGACAACGTTCTGCAAAAGAATATACCAAAAAAAATTAATACACAAAGAGAGCGTTCCTCCGTAAGAATGATTTTTTAGGGTGCTGAATCAGCACCCTAAAAAATCCTTATCACTGCTGATGACAATGACTCTTCCATCATTACTATCATTGTTATCTTTTTCTTACAAGATAAATTACTAATTGTGTTTATTGTGCTGCAAAGTTTTAGGACAAGATGTTTACGAGCAGCTTACCGTTTGCTGCACGGAATGTTCACTTTTTAATGTCATCTGGTACGACCGTCTGAACAAAAATGATCGCCCCTTCCTCCATAAGTATAACAGCTAAACGCTCTTTCATCATGAATTAAAAATCGGTCTGACTTTAGTTGCTTTTCGTTCATTTTGGACACTTTTGTTGTAAATTTGAAAATCAGTTCACGGATATAGATTATATCAGGTATGGTTTAGGGGTTGATATCAGCCACTAGAGAGTTAAAACTTTTAAGTGCAAAGGGGTATTAGAGTAAATCTATTGACATCTTCTGAGTCTCAATTTCCATTTTCCTGTCAAGCTGTTTTTTTTTCTCCATTTAACGAGTCAAACATTTGTGTAGAAAAAGTATGAAATCTAAAACAAGTCCGTTATTTTCGATGACGTTATTGGTATATGTATTGTATGTATCCCATAATATTAACATTATTTTGCAGATTATATAACGAGTTATTTATGTAAAAGTTTTTTATCAAATATAGCAACGTAACAAAGACGCTAAGAGCTAAGGGGAGGGAGAGGAGGGTTCAAACACTACCCTGTACCACGTTGGGGTATGATCTCGCATCTATCTCCCCAAATTGAACGAAGATTTGTATCGTATCTGTGTACGGTTTGAAAATTGGGGAATATTACTTGGAAAACATCGCTGGATATCCTCCGGCTTTAGCTGAGGTATATTCTTTCACACGTGTAGAAAAATAATGCCTGATGGATTGTAAACAACAATTGGACATACTTGCAAAGAGTCATCATGTTGAATATCTGTTTTGTTTAACATCAAGGTAAAATTGTTTGACTGAAACAGAGATAACATATTAATTTAGTTTTGTAATACGTGGCGAAAAAGATTGATAAAAATGCCAAACGTTTTTAAAGTTAACTTTCAAATATGTCCATGGTCTATGAAGTGCAGCTGAACCATGTCTAAATCTTTTTCTTAAATTCTTGTTGGAAAAATTAAAAAAAAAAAAAAACCAAACAATTGAAAACAGCAAACAAAGCTACCGAAAAGGATCAAAACAAATTAAAAAAACCAAACACAACAAAAAAAATCACTTACTTGTATTAATAACGGTAAAAATAGTTATAGCAATAATAATGGCACTAAACAACGATGGCATTAGCAACTACAAAGCATGATACCATAGAATAAGTACATGTCAGAAGGATTAGACTTAGCGATGCATACCAATTCTTCTGTTTTTGAGATGTTTTTGGATCTTCTATAACGTTGGGATGATCCAGTCGCTGATTGTAAAGGACCTTAGATTGAATAAGAAGCTTGTTATGAAATCAAAGTATTCTAGTATTTACGTAACGTTTTCTGGCTATGGTAAAAAATCAATTTTTTTTAAGGATAGGATAAATATACGATATTCAACACCATCAATACTCTTATGACTTGGACGAAGGGCTTTTGTTTGGAATGTCGGCTTTGCAATCTCACTAATCAACTATTAAGAATCCGATGATACAAAAATTCACCGAGCTATATATACAAGAAAATGTAATTTTTGTTAGTTAATTAGAAAAAGAGATGTATCGTATAGACGCGATAATTGGAATTTATGTTTCTTTGCAGATGCAATCTTTATAAAACCTAAAAAAGTATGGGATCCAATGGAAGAAGCAATTTAAGAAAATATTTATCATAGCAGTAGGTTTTGTCCTGTTTCGCAAAGTAGTTTGCTTGACAATGCCTAAATTCCATGACTTGAATAGTCTTATTTGCTATCGTTAGACTAAAAATCATACATTAATCTTCACCACGAGGCCGAGTCGCTGTGGATTTGATATTTGAGGTTGAAAATTGATTCTTCTATTGCTGTGACTTTAACTGTCAGGGAAATGCCAGTGGCAGTGGTACTTGACACATAATCCGTGATGCATTTAGAGGGGTATTANAGTCTCGTAATTCTCTTTGTTAATACCTTTTACCATCCATCAACTCAAATATTATCTTTCCAGCAAAGAACTTTTCCTTCGCTCGAGCGGACTGCACTGAAACCTTATCAATGCATTGAAGGAAGTCGTAACATGATTTTTTTATTTGTTTGGTTTACGTGTTAACTCAGGAACAAAGTAATTCTCCCCCGTCACAACTGACGCACTGCTATCCTAAAATGACTGCTTCCCGTAATTAGCAAAATGCTTTAAATTTTACTCGTAAGTTCCATTTTATTCTATGAATGTATAATTACGAGGAAGATTATAATTTTTCTTGCTCGTGAGGCTTGACCTCTTCACCGTATGCAATTGCACATCATTTATGTCACTTACATCTCACAATTGAGAATATAACATGGTCGTCTTGGTAACCAGGTATTATAGCTGCACGTGATTATTTTTCATGAAACATTAGTGATTCTAAAGTTAACTTTACTCTTTTGATATTGTGATCATTATTCATAATTCATATTATTATTGCAGAGAAATCAACTGAATGCTACATTCAGTTAATTTATTATTATTTATTATTATTATTTATTTATTTTTATTATTATTATTATTGTTATCATCATACGATGGCCTATCAGTGTGAGTTGGCATGAGTTGGCGTTGTCTTGCCGTGAGTTGGCGTTGTCTTGCCGTGAGTTGGCGTTGTCTTGCCGTGAGTTGGCGTTGTCTTGCCGTGAGTTGGCGTTGTCTTGCCGTGAGTTGGCGTTGTCTTGCCGTGAGTTGGCGTTGTCTTGCCGTGAGTTGGCGTTGTCTTGCCGTGAGTTGGCGTTGTCTTGCCGTGAGTTGGCGTTGTCTTGCCGTGAGTTGGCGTTGTCTTGCCGTGAGTTGGCGTTGTCTTGCCGTGAATTGGCATTGTCTTGCTGTGAGTTGGCGTTACATTGCCGTGAGTTTTAACATAAATTGAAGTTGTCTTGCCGTGAGTTTGCTATTTCTGGTTGTTTTTGCCGTGACACTTATGGGCCACCGCATCATCATCATTATTTTAATGTCTGTCGCTGAGATAAAATTTCTTTGAGTTTAAGGCATCGCAACATTCGATGCTTTCGGTTTCCGGAAAAATACTGTCTCAGTTTTCCCATTAGGAGAGTACGTGATGAAAGGAGTTTGGGTTTATCAATCACTCTCACGCAAACGCTGAGTCAGCTGAACTTAAGAGAAAAAGTCCGAATACCTTAGTAGTGTTCAGACTGTTGAGTGATTTAAAGTAATGGAAAAGTGTAATATGCATGCTGCACAGAGAGGAGCACAAACCAGTCGAGTGAGCTTTAGCTAAGTATCCGAAGCAAAACCTCAAAATATCTTGTACGGTGGGATCTTTTTTTTCTTTTCAATGAATTAGGAAAATAAGGAGAGAGGAATAAACGGGTTATCACTTTTCAGGCTCTGAATTGTAGTTCATCGCCAGAAAAAAGATTAAAGATTCATTTATCTACTAGATAACCACGATGCACAACACCACCTTCTACATAAAATGAGGAAAGCTGAATTACCTCTGCTATTCAATTTGAAGACTTCGTCGTTCGTATTTTTGAGTAAACCTCAATTGGACCTAAAAGAAGACTTATTTCTCTGCCTTTGTGAAAATTAGTAAATCCCAACAAAGAGTACATCTCTGAAAATGCGACGAAGCGGCTTTCAAAGAAGGTTAATTTGTAGTTATTAGTTGGATTGCTTTTAGGCGCAGGTGAAGCTTTCTGGAACTTAATTGACTCCTGGGAAAGGCAAACAACCTTTTTGTCACCGAATGGTTGAAAAATATTAAATGTCAGCCTGCCAAATACAGTAATGTAAAGAATGTTTACCGTCCACGTTCAGCTCCTAGGTGCCAAACACACACTCACGCGAAAAAAGTCCCTTTTTCTCAGATATACGAGGATGGGTCGGAAGCTGGATTCATTTTAAAAAGCTTCTTCGCACGCAGCATTTCTTTCCAAAAGCTGGCCTGAAAACGTCGCATTGCTTGTACCTCAAAAGAAGCTTAAAAACGAAGATGCCTTGGGTCCTAAATTGCTGTTTGCTCAGTGCCAAAAATAGTTTTCCCAAATATGTCGAAACTAGTGGAAAAAAGAACCTTTGAAAGAACTACATGGGTTTTACTTTTATGATCCTGAAATACTGACAAATCTGCCGTGTTATTTCTATCCCGCCTTTGGTTTTCTACATAAACGAAAAATTGTTCAGCTCTTCTTCCCCATGCGGATACAACGAGCTAAATGTCACGTCATTTGTTTTTCCTGAAGATTTATGACAGCCACACAAGAAGTGATGCAATACATGTGAAAATTCACTTTTAGTTCTTTCATGTTTACATATTTTTCTAAATCTTATAGATACAGATGTTTCTGTTTAATGTCATTCATCTTATAAATGATATTTCTTTATGAACTGGACAGTAGAATTTTTTGCATTCATAGCGATGAGCTGGATATATGGAAAAACAAAGAAATGCGTTAGTTTACGTCTAAAATACTTAACGGGTAAGTGTGCTCATTCAATTTTTTTTTTTTTTTCATTTATAGCCAAACTACTCTCGTCATCTATTTAACGTGTACCTAATGGTAAAAGACAAACATTATGGTTATCTAATCTCAGAAATATCGCTATAATGGCGACAAATGGTGAGCTTCAAGACTCGATGATATATTGTGATTCCAGACTAAACATCCTCAACGCTAATTAAACAATTTAAGTGACTAAAAAAAGGTTACTCACTAATTCCTAGGGTTATTCATAAAAATCATTCAAACGAAGGCCGAAGGGTTAACTTTTTCACTCATAACGTCAGCTTCAAGCTATTCTAGTTACCTCTAAAAGAGACTAACGGAAATCAAAACATAAGTGACCGTTTCAGACGAGTGACGTACGTGATCAAAGAAGACTAACAGTTGTTATCTCAACTCTAGCCAGCATTATACGGACGACGTAATCATTCATGACATCATCATAATGACCGACGATTTGAGTCAGAATGACTTAAATTAATTGACATATCGTGACTGAACAACGGTCCACCCTTGTCAACTCTATTATGAAGTCGATTGAATGGTTTTTCTCACATAAAGAGTTACTCGTTGAAAGACTGCAATTCAACTGCCCACATATCGCTGGCGCCACTTGGATTGATTTGTGAGGTTCTCTTTACAGAGTTCCCATGATTTGCGGTGTATGGAAAAATGCGATTCATAGTCGTTTTGAATCGCTCTCTAATCTGTAGATGAACAAGCGAAAAAAAATCAGTTGTTCAGCACTCAAATCTTTATCTAATTCAAAACCTAACAATCCTCTTCATGTGTGTCCTCAGTTTGATATCCTTCTTACCTGGCTGTTTCGCACACAGTGGAGGGCGAAAATAAGGAAACCCTAAAACAGAAAATTATTTCAAGAACAAACTTAATTATTTGATTCTGGTAAGCAGTGGTAGGGAGTCGTATGAAATATTTGATGCAGAGAACTTACAATTCCATTTACTTTTCTCATAAAACGTCTTCATGAAAAAAGGTTACAAAAAGGATATAAGAATCAAAGCAAGTTACACGTCTCACCAACCAAAGAGGAATTTTTCTTTTTCATACTGAGAAAAATTGAGAGCAACCTATTTTCAATTTTTTTCATGAAATTCAATGCGAGAGGGTCTAGCTTTGGCGAATAAGTTGTCTGAGCATTCAAGTATGCATATAGAAAACTGCTATTCTACGGTTTTACTCAAAAGCTCACCTGTGTAGAGTTTAAGATGGTGAAAATGTAAGCGAAAGCTTTATGTACTGGTAACAAAAACCAAACAGCCATGTAACGCCCAACAGTGGAACCATCACCGCGCATGTTCTTAGGCCAAGTCTGGAATAGAAGAACAACATGTGACTTTTGGAATCGTTAATCTTCAGTCGAAGTTTTCGCTCACCCGCTTGTTTACTCGCCTCATCGTTTATGATTGACCAGAAACGAACTGAGGTAGATATCTTAGAACTAGTTTATACTAAAATGCGTTTTCAGTGTTTAAGGAGTCCCTTTTGAAACTGTGTATTCTTTATCTTGCTTGTTGTTAACCTCTAATTAATTACAATTGTTTGGTAAAATAATATGGTTCAGTTCCCACCGTATTTGAAGAACATGGTCATCTTCCCCCATTGGCTGTACCAATGTAGTCATCTCTTTTATGACTCGGACGAGTATCAAAATGTTGAGCTGGAACCGAAAAGACATGTTAGATCTCAAAAAAAAAAAAGAAAAGAAAAAAAAAAAAGAGAGAGAATGTTTTATGTCTCGTTACGAGCGTCTTAAAAATAAAAATTGTGTTAACATGAAAACTTTAGTCTCGGTGAGGAATTGAAAACTCGAGCTTTGAATTCACTGCTCCTATACTCCAGGACAACGAAAGCAAACGCAATGGTAAGCTAGGCATTTTGAAGCTTCACAAATGGTTAGAGTTCGTTCATATTGCAAGGAGAAAGAGAACATGTCCAACAACGGTCAGTCCTGGTATATATAAAGTAAAATAACGTATCCGTCAATCGTCGACTTACAACTTCAATGAACGCCACAAATGCAATAAATATCCAGACTAGGTTGTTAGTGGAGGACAGCCAGCAACTTCAAACGAAAAAAGGAAAAAATAAACGTAGATTGTAACAAATAATTCCTCCTTCCTGGCTGAGTCTAAACACCTATAAATCGAAACAGAAGTAAAAACACAAAAACAACATGAATTTCAGTTAAAAGAGTGAAAAGATACAGACGAGAAGAAACTAGCACCGAAGGAATTTCTTACTATTCATTACTGGTATAGCTTTGAATTCCTTCTTTTGCAGCAGCGATGCTGAGTGAAATACTGACCATGATCATGGGCAAACCTGAACAAAAAGGAGAGAAAGTCAATGCAGTTCAAGGAATTACATACCCAATCAGAAGCGACTCAAAATAGCAAAGTACCGATAATTTACAACAATTAAAATGAAAATACCCCATGAGATGACGTGATACATGTGCATCTTTTCGGCGGTGTTGTAAACTTTCACAACAAACAGGTAGAGATAAATTCCCTCGACCAGCATCCAACAGAAAGCGGCCATCAGAAAATACTGCATTAAAGCTGCCACCGAAACACAAGCACCCTATGAAAAAAGGAAAAGAGAGCGTCTGTTGTTCATGCTCCTGTTTACAGAATATATTAGGCCATTAAAATAGTTTGTTAAAAAAAAAGATAGATGTAAATATGACTCACTTCGTTTTCCGTGGCGTTTATCCCGGCAAGAAAGATTATCTGACCAGCTCCAATGGCCACAGAGAGGCTCAATCTTATTTGAGACAGAGGCTGACGAACATCACTAGTAATAAAAAAAATGCGAAGAACTGCAAAAACAAACTAACAAACAAAGCAAAAAAGAAGCTTTACATAATAACACACAATGCTCATTTAACGGTATACTTCTCGAGGCATTTCACTTTCGGTTGCCACTGAAGGGGTTTAATTTACCGTTATTTTCTTCGTTCTTATTTGTTGCAAATATCATCATCATTATAATAACTAAGGTTTTTAAGTTAATTGATAGTCCGGTTACAGTACTTACGTTAGGAAGGAATAGACAATAATTGTCAAATATATTCCCGTCATGGAAAGGCTTAATCCAACGTAAGTGATAATTTCCAATATGGTTATGTCCTCCTTGGTGAGCTGTGACACAAATTGTATTACAGTAATATAAAATGTTGATTAACTCAAAGGGATTGTATCACGCATGTTGAAGATACGATCAAAATTATTTCATTACCCCTAAGATACCGTTGTAATCGACTAATACGGCGAAATGGGTCAAATGATTGCAGCTGCAAACTGTGTCTTTTCCATGTAAGTTGTTTTTGGATGTTACAACGTGGCATACTCTCTCTGAAAATCCGTCGGTGCTGAGAAGAAAGAACAGAAAAAAAAAAACAAAAAACATAAAACTTTAAGAAACATTGAAGGGAAAAAAAGAAAGCAAAACAAAAACGCACACATATCATAAAAAAGGTTCTTTCCTACTCCTTCCGAATTCAGAACGATATCTACTGCCAATATCTACGGAGAAATAATACGCTTACAATATTCATTTCACTTATCTACTTCATTTGCGATCAAGAATTAGTTCATGAACGGGAAAAATAAATAACATATTCCAGTATCCTACCTTTCGCTAAAGCCACTCCAGAACGCACATATCTTCTCTCCCTCTTTATAAACCTAAAAACATATTTTATATTCATGGAATAAACCCAACACAGACCAACTATTCTTAGTTTCACTGATTCTGTTACCTCGAGGTTTGTGAACTTGATGATGATATTTTCTTGCAATTTGTGTGATTTTGGATCCATAGCTATAGCCATTATTCTGGAACCCAAAAGCCTATAAAGATAATTCAAATCTCAGACTGAGACACAAATAGTCGAGAGAAAGTTTCTTGTGAGGGATATGGCAAGCTAAGAACCTTTACAAACCAGTGATAGATTTATGGTAGTTTCCTAGACGATGGGCTAATCTAGATGGAGACTAACAGGAAATCTCCCTCTAACAGGGCTTTGACAATTTTGCAACAAACATGTTGAACCCAAAATTCTCTTTTTATGCACATAGGGTGAAAGCAACATCTGGCTGGGAGATTTAGGGAAGTATTGTCACCTTCTTTTTCCTGTTTTATTTCTGATGGTTTGTTTTGTAAGAACTATTTCATGGAGATCCTTGTACGCAATCCCAACAATCAGTGATACTGAGGGAAAGAAGAGAAGAAGAATTTAAAATTTGGGAAACCCAACAAACTAATTTGTATCGAATAGGCAGATGTATTTAGTTACAGCGCAAGTTGGGACAGAAAGCCAAGGCAAATTGCATATTAAAAGTGAAAAAAATAATCAATACAAACCATTGTTCTCAAAATTTGTTGAGGGAAATTTCATGCTTGCTTGCAATTTCTGTTCCCCGAAATAGAGGTTACTGGCATTTTGTCGGTAGGCTTTCTGAATAACCAGTACTGACAGAAAAAGAATACAATTAATTCAGCTGGTATATAATTATCAAGAACATGTCAACACACTAATTAGGGCATTTGGCGCTAGATTTACAGTGGGTCATGTGCATATCCATGATCGTGGCCTTTTCTTCACTTTACCTCTCGAAAAGTACGTTTCTCTAAGATCACAGCAACATCGTCGAGAAGAGTCGCAAGAAGCTCTGCGCTTTCTCCTTTTNTAACATCATAGACGAGTACAAATATCACGCGGTATTTGTACACCAGAGAACTGGTTAGACAGGTCTTCACGCAGCGCGCAAGCAAAAAATTGGTTGAAGTTAAGAAAAAAGAATTGCCGGAACATTTGAATTGTATTTCTGACGACAGTGAGTCGGAATGGCTGGCAAATATAGATCCAAGTTTAATAGATTAATCGAATGATGAAAAAAAGCTATAAAACCAGGAAATTTCTCCATTTATTGCTGAAAATAGAAATAGCAACACGACAACGCGCCAGTTCCGTTCCGCTTCGCATATTTCTCTCTCGCTCTCCCCGTAAATAAATATCTAGGAAATTCGCCCGCTCTGAAATAACAGTTTGGCGTGCTAGATAATAAATAACTTGTTAAACGTTTTGTTGTGTAGTATCGTTGAGTATTTTAACTTGTCAAGATACGGCAGAACTCGTAAAATACTCGGCGATACTACACAACAGAACTTCCAGAAAGATATATTTACCGAACTATCTGAAAATTTTTACAAAACATTGAAGGAAGCAGTGAAAGTGTCCGGTATTACCTGTACAGACAATACTGTATAAATTACCATTGCTTTTACTATAGCACAAAAGCATAATCTACTTAGATGATGATAAAATTACCAAGATTGCAGTTACAATCTTACTTAGATTACATGTTCAGCCCGATCACGTGACCCATTCATATTAACCTCACGTTAAACCTTCGAGCACAGATCCCCTTTGTTCTAATCTAATTTAGTTTTCAGGATACTTAATAGTAGTTTCATCAGTTCTTGGCGTTTCGCGAGCCCTTTTTCCCCCAATCTTTGTAATAAAGCAGTAAATTACTAATTTTTTTTTATTTCGCAGAATCACGCTTGAAATCGAAAACTTATCTAAACCAGTAAGGGGTAATTTCTGCAGAGAACACGTTTAGAACAAACGCAATTAGAATATACAAAAATACAACGAAAACTCACCGACTGTTCGAGCTTAGGGTTTCTATCAACTACGATAATTTACTGTAACAAATATCCCAACATGAACGCGACAATTTTCCCTCAAGAGCACCTGAGAGATTGCCCTGATGTTTTACGTAAAACATAGGTCCGCAATGGGAGGTACACTAGTTCTGCCTTACCTTTTTTAAACTCACAAATGTAAGCTTTATGTGTAGTCCTATAGACGGTCTCGAATAAGCCGCTTGTACCGTTAAAGCTCTTCAAAATGGCAGCTACCGTCCGACGAGACCATGTCAGGTTTCCCCTCCATTTCTTGATAGTCAGCGGTCTTCTATTCACCCAATTCCAATTTTCAGCCTCTTTTTCTAAACCAATATAATAGCCCGGAATAGTTCTTTTCTGAATCTCGTTATTGATAAAACTCCATTCTTCTTCTGTCTCTATGGAAACCAGGTCTCCCCCTTGGCTTTGGCAGATGTCTCTGTTGTCGTTCCATTTTCTTCCCAATTTCATAAATGTGTACCATGAATCTTTAAAAGAAGTATTTGGGCATACTACAAAATAATAATGACAATAGTAATTATGATAGGGATGATAATAATAGTAATAATAATTAAATAATAGTGATGATGACAATAACAATAACAGTGACAATGTTCATAGTAACGATGATTACAGTAAAAGTAATAATTGTTACTAAAATGGCAGCTGTAATGAAGATTATAATAACAGTAAATAATAATAATAATGATAATAAATGAGATGATGACAATGATGATAAGATAATGATAATAATAAAAGTAACTGTGACAATAACAATAACAATAACAATAACAGTGACAATGTTCATAGCAACGATGATTACAGTAAAAGTAATAATTGTTACTAAAATGGCAGCTGTAATGAAGATTATAATAACAGTAAATAATAATAATAATGACAATAATAATAATAAATGAGATGATGACAAAGATGATAAGATAATGATAATAACAAAAGTAACTGTGATGATACCGACAATCACATTTTTAGAACATTTAGCACACGTGACTAAGAACATAAAATTTGTTCTATTGTTCTTCATAGCGTTTGATTGATAGATGTCACGTAATACACTTTTCGCATTCGAATCTCGAAAGTGCTCTCATTTACCCATTATGCAAGGAACCATTTGGAACCATTTTGGAAGGCCATCTCACAACAATAAGTTCAAAATACCATAAGGGTTGCTCAGTAAATCCATTGCTTAAAAAATATTTTTTCCTTTTAACGACCATATCACCGAGAGAAAACTCCTGCTTGTATTTTTTTTCTTTAAAAGCGTTAGATTCAACTGCGTGTTTAAGTATCAACCCATTCCTCCTTTCCCCATCTAAAAAAAATTAAAAGTAGGATTCGTGTTTAGCGATCATTTTTTGCAACACGCTCTTATTCACCGCGTACTAATCTCTGAGACGCACAACTTAGGTTAGGTTATCCCTATTCGTTGAGCAGTGACATGCCTTTTTTTAAAGAGAAATTTTCTCGAGGTCGAGTGTTAGCTAGGCGTACATTTTTAAAATGCGATCTCACCTTCAGGAATTTCACAAATAAAAGGTTTGGCATCTGTCTCGGGGATTGCATTAAAAAGGCTCCCATTCTTGATTATTTCCGCAAACGTTCTGTTACCACTTCTCTCCCAGTTTCGCCATTTTGAAATATTCAGCTGCGTTCCACTCTTCCAAGTCCAACCTCCTTCTGTCTTTTTTTCCAAGCCAACGAGCCACGCACTGACATTCCAAATACTACGTTTTTTAATTTCTTGATTGATAAACTCCCATTCTTCCTCGGTTTCGATGGAAGCTAGGTCACCTCCTTGGTGGCGGCAGATTTCACTGTTGTCCCACTCAGCCCATCCCCATTTTGTAAATGNGTTGTTTTTGTTGTTGTTATTGTTTTTATTGTTGTCGTTGTTGTTGTTGTTGTTGTTGTTGTTCAACGACTCGCATTAGGAGCCGGAAGCCACTTGAGGATCTTCCATGCTGTAGTCCGACAATTGATTATTTATATCAATCGGACAGAATATCATCTTTCTTCAAGTCCAGGTTCATGCACATCAATAGAAAAAGTAGGAGTTACACTGCTTCACCTGTTCCTTGTAGCTGCATTGTCAAGGTAAGGATAACTGCAAAAGAAAAGAGAAATAGATGTGCATTTTCAGAACTAAAATTCTGCCACTAAAATCATTGTGAAACTTCCACAGGTAAAAGTTTTGAAAAAGAAAGTAGCCAGAGAGACAATTACAAATGATCCTGACAGAAATAACGATTGAATTTGAACCGTTTGCATGTGTGTGTGTGTGTGTGCGTGTGTGTGTGCGTGTGCGCGTGCGCGCGCGTGCGTGTGTGTGTGTGGGACTAGTGTGTGTGTGTCTGTGCGTGCGTGCGTGTGTGTTTGCGTGCGTGTGTGTTTGTGTGTGTTTGCAAGATAGTCGAAGACGTAAACTGGACAGTCCCGTGCCACTTAACTAAGAAAGAAACAAATGAACAATTATCAAGATTCTACGATATTAAGGAGAGCTTTCGCCACTGTAGGTATTTTAAAACCTAGAAATTTAGGCATGCATTCTTCATTAGTCTGAAACTTTGAAAAAAGGGAACAACTCTCAGGCATTTTGATTAACTACATGTAAATACAAAGATATTCACCTTGTCTCATTCTTCGAAAGAAATGGCATCAACCCACTTCTAATATTTAAAAATTAAAACTTCGCCCTGGTGTTGGATTGTACGGCTAAATAGGCTCGCAGGCCCTAGTATAGTCGGCCGAAGTCACGACAAAGTCGCGAAGCTTACCCCCGTGGAAGAGTGTTCTTCCAATTAGATAAGTCGAACACGCGGGGAGGATGTTTCTACTGCAGAACACTGATTTTATTGTTAACTTTTTATGTTTTTGCACTGGTCTCTTGCATAGAAAAAAGATCAGATTTTGTCTTTTTATAGCTATCAGGATGTACGAGCATATTTTTTATTTATTAATTTTTTTTTTCTGGTGATAAGGTTGAGTTCTCAAATACTTCAAGCCACAACCTTTCCCAGTCGAGGATTGTTCTTTGTCTCGTCTGTTCGCGTTTAATTTCTCAGATGAATCAAAAAAATATATAGCTCGTAATCCTAATTATGCGCTCTAAAATCATAACGATTGAATAAAAACGTTTTTTAATTTTCTTTTCAAGTTATTTTTCTCCAGCTACGTTTTTGCAGTTATCTTCAGAGTCATCATTCAATTGTTAGCAAACTTTACTAATAATGCGAACAAATACGCAAGCGCTGCAAGCGGAAGATGACTACCAATTCACCCTTTATGCTCGTTTATTTTCGGAATCTATTACAAAAATGTCTTCATCGCCACATTTTGTCATATCGACGCAAGAGGATATGAACTAAGCTATTGTTGTCCTGTTTTCCTTAAAATCGCTGCTAAAACCTGTTGCGCAGAGCGTGAAAACAAACCAGTTGTGGATTAAAAGCACTACTTCATTGTCAAAACTTCTTGTATCGTGTCGAAACTAAAATATAACATTGTAAAACTCTCCTAAGAGCCGACGTTTTGAGACCTTTTCCTTTTGTCAATAGAAAGCTGAACAAGGACTTATTGACAAATAGTTTCCTGGTTCACTCAAGCGTAGGGTTTCTCAATAGCGTAATATGGTAAATGCATCCTATCAGTCACAACTACTCTTATAATTCTGACAAAAAATGAAATAGAGGGTGTACTTACTCAGCGAACGACGTATAGACCGGGCTATGAACATTTTACCGGACTGGATCCCACTCTTCACCCAAGTTATAAGGTTACAGCTAGTAGATGTCAGTAACCTTGTAAAAGTTTGTGAATCGGTAACAGCACATGGGAGGCTACAGATTTTTCAACGAATTTTACAGTTTTTAGCAAGAGGTACAATGTAAAGGATATCACAACACTGCATCGCTTTTCTCTGACAATGGTGATCTTTTTTTTTTCCATCATTAACTGACCAATGAGACTCGCTCTATTTTCACCAGGTGCAGATCACTGTTTTACTTAACAAAAACAAGAAATACACGAAATGAAAATAGCTCTATTAAGTTTACATTTTGTGATAGAACTGCAGATGATAATGAGTCAATAAAATAAGTTTTAAATCCTCTAAAATCTAGTTCATGACCTTTGCTTTCAACGGTATTTACCTAAAGCAAACTTGCGTTCAGCATCATTTGCCCACTGGAAGCTTATTTGAGTATTCCATTAGTAATATTTCCATTTTCCACACTAATAGCAATATTTCCATTTTCCATAATAGCAATATTTCCATTTTCCACACTAATAGCAATTTACCATCTTTCCATGAAACAAGTGAGTCTACAGTTTGAAACTGACATATCATTAACTGCGCAAACAACTGAAAGTCGCATATAATTAGCTCCACAGATCCTTTTTCTTCGTCGGAGGCACTGATTCAGTAATATCTTGGTGCACTTGTGCAAATAAGATTCTGTCATAGAATTCGCCGGGTCCAAACATATCTTCACTTTCTAGTTGGATCACTCGATGTGTATTTCGACGAGGTTGATTGTCAAAGGACTGTGCACCTCCTTCCTCCCCTCCCCCCTTCTCCTTCTAAATCGTTTCATAATTCCATCCTTTTCATATCCAGCTATTTATACTCCAACTTTTACACTATATGGTAAGATAATTCTTATTTTCATGTTGATTAAACCTCGATGGGCGCAAATAGATGAAAGTGCAAGGTATGCATAGAGTCTCTCTTGAAGTTTTCAGACATGTGCGTGTCTGCGAATTTACTCAATTCAACTTGTGACTTTTAGCAAATTAAAGTAGAATTCTCCTGACCAATATCTTGTAACCACCGCGCGTTCAGCAATATCTGTAATGATTAATAGTTGTTCTGTCGCACTTTATAATAACACCTACCGAGCTTTTTAATAATAATACAAAAGAAGCTGTCGAACTTTGTAACAACGGACCAACGCATATGAAATAAAGTTAGCTGTCGCACTTTGTAATAACAGTTGTTTTACTTTGTAATTAATTTGAAAAATATTAACGGAGAGCAGAATTCGAGAATTATCATCATCATTATTACTATTACGATCACCCCTATCATTATTTTTATGATTGTCGTTATTAGCAAAGATGACGTTTGATCGTTGCGTCTACTCGCCCTCTAAGCATTTATACCAAGTTAATTACAAAGTGCGACAAGTAAGTGTTTATACTAAGGGCGACATTTTATTTATAAGAAAGTGTAATGGTCAGTTATATCCGCTAAAGGGAGACAATTTTTTTTATTGCAAAGTGCGACAATTTTATTAAAGAATGCGACAGGTTTTTACAAAGTGCAGCAGAACAAAACTTTCGATCGCTGTCCTTTCAGGAAGCTTACCCGATAGACGATTTTGGCTTGGACAGCGCAAAAGCAAACGAACTAACAAAAACATAGACAAAAAAAACAAAAGCGAAAGCAATACGAGAATTATAAAAATTACCTTGAAACACCTCTCCCAATCCCTTTTTTCGGGCAAAAATTAAAGAGTCACTTTTTTTTTCTGTTAAAGGTCGAGAAGACCTCTTATAACAAGAGCGACACTTAATTCATTTCAACAGGGTGGTGGTAAGTAAGTATATATGTAAGTAAGTCCTTTATTTTAAAACGACATTCATTAGAGCTGTGATACTTCTGGGGTCGTTTTAAAAGTTTTCACAATCTCGCCTGTTCCTGTTCGTAAGTCCAGCCAAGCCT